TTCAACGGATAATGCAAACTTGTCGAAAATCGGCTAAGTTCTGTATCCTCGCGATTCACTCTATTCCCGAAGCAAGTTTCCTACAAAATCCGACGTATAAGAAAACACTCGTACCAGAGCTCCTAAACCCGTACGAATCTCGGAAGGTCAACATTTCACAAAGCACCGTACGAATCTCGGAAGGTCAACATTTCACAAAGCACCGTAACGAAAAACCCTTCGTTTCGGGGAAACAACTTACGCGACCTCTCGGTCCTAATTGCTCTAGCACAAATCATAAAACTACCTAACATCCAAACAGGAATGTTAGTTTTAATTGCGAATATACGCAAACGAACCAAAGTGTTCCTGCAAAGCAAGGTTAAGACAAAACCCTCGCAACACCGCGCAACATCTTCGAGCCCGCAAACGTTCCGAACACGAAACGCGGCATATAAAATAAAAACCAACTTTCAGCGCTGCGAGACGTCGCAGATGCCCGGATATTAGTTTTTCGACACAAATACCTTCCTCGATAAAGTCATTTTCTTGGAAGACCTAACAGTCCGTTCGCGACTATAAAATACGCAAAACTTCTTAACGTACGTATCCTTCGCGAAGGCCCAAACTACGTAAACATCTATCACTTAAAAATAGTTTGTTGCTGATCACAACGAACTCGCAACAGTCCTAAACAAACTTAAGTTATCTCGCAGAGATAGCTCTCGAACACNCAGTCCGTTCGCGACTATAAAATACGCAAAACTTCTTAACGTACGTATCCTTCGCGAAGGCCCAAACTACGTAAACATCTATCACTTAAAAATAGTTTGTTGCTGATCACAACGAACTCGCAACAGTCCTAAACAAACTTAAGTTATCTCGCAGAGATAGCTCTCGAACACCCGACACAAGGGTAATAGCGCTATAAAAAAAATCCAAATTTTGGACAGCACTTCCGGGCAACTTAGAAATTGTTCCCAGTGAGATGCTCGGTTCCAACCAGACGAATCGTATAAGCCGAGAACCTATCGCGGATTCTAAATCGGTATGGAATCAGGTTAAAATCGTAACAGGCAAAACGAAAGCCGACTAGTCATCGCATAGCCTCAATCCGAAAGTAAACCTAGGTCTTGCCCTAAACCCAGCACACTGGTCGCTAACGTCTCAAGGCATGAATCGAGATCCTAAAGGCATGTCTCTTCGTCTATATCTAAACGCTCACTCAATTTGCTAAACATCCTGAAACGAGAAAACGAATAAGGCGATACACTAAGGGAAAGGAATGCGAAACGACAACTCGCGGACCTCCCTCAATATCAACTCATATTCTTCCCGCTACATTCATACGAATAAAAACACGCTCTTAAAAACGCAAACTGATTTTTAATAAAGCCGCAAAAGCGGCAGGGACTCAGAGCCGCACACGGCCAGTCCAAAAACTATAACGGCCACGCTCGGCCAGACCGAACGGCCTACGAGGCTAGTCTCAAGGCCGACAAAGGTTCAGATGCCATCGACATCAATATGCTCGATAATTCCTACACGACATATAACTAGACCGTAAAGGTCTTGCTGGGAAACATGTCATACGAACCTTAACTCCAAAACGAACTACGAAAGGCTTGATCCCCTCAAAAGGGTACGTAGGCAGCCTTCTCAAGGCGCAGCCCTAATCTTAAACGCTTTCCGCTCCCTGGAAAGTGGAAAGATCACTTTTAACGGACCTTTCCGACCATTAATTCTGCCTAACTTAACTAAACCTGGTTCACCACTCGCAAGAACCTTACGCTAAAGGCTCAAGATTCTTACGAGCTGGGGGGCTAACTGTTGGGGTCAAAATCGGTACGACGGAATCAACGGCCGAAACTCCCCGCAGAAATATATAAGGAATCGTTTTATAAAACCCAAAGAATCATTTTATAAAACTCGAGGATCGTTTTATAAAACTCGATGATCGTTTTATAAAACTCGAGAATCGTTTTATAAAACCCGAGGATCGTTTTATAAAACTCGAGAATCATTTTATAAAACTCATGGATCGTTTTATAAAACTCGAGAATCGTTTTACAAAACTCGAAGATCGTTTTATAAAACTCGAGAAGCCGTTTTATAAAACTCGAAGATCGTTTTATAAAACTCGAGAAGCCGTTTTATAAAACTCAAAGATCGTTTTATAAAACTTGAGAAGCCGTTTTATAAAACTCAAAGATCGTTTTATAAAACTCGAAGATCGTTTTATAAAACTCGAGGATCGTTTTATAAAACTCGAGAAGCCGTTTTATAAAACTCGAAGATCGTTTTATAAAACTCGAGAAGCCGTTTTATAAAACTCGAAGATCATTTTATAAAACTCGAGAAGCCGTTTTATAAAACTCGAAGATCGTTTTATAAAACTTGAGAAGCCGTTTTATAAAACTCGAAGATCGTTTTATAAAACTCAAAGATCGTTTTATAAAACTCGAGAAGCTGTTTTATAAAACTCGAAGATCGTTTTATAAAACACGAGGATTGATTTATAAAACTCGAGAAGCCGTTTTATAAAACTCGAAGATCGTTTTATAAAACTCGAGAATCGTTTTATAAAACTCGAGAAATCGTTTTACAAAACCGCAAAAAACCGAAACGGCCGTAAAACGCGAACTAGTCCATCTCGACTAGTTCCCCCACCGGCGAACTACTGACTTTGCCCCACTGGTTCTTTTCGCCTATTTCGCTATATGGCGATCTGGCCAAGCTGAACTAGCTCGCCGTACGTCGAGCCGACCATCCCGAGCCTCGATCTCCCACATCCTTGATTCAAGGGATACGTCCTTCGGCACGATCGTATTCCGAATCACGGTCGAAATGTCTCTTGTTTCGTCTTGATCCGTCCTATCGTTCGAGTTTTACGATAAAAACCGTAAAACTTTGTTTTCTCGAATAGAACTCGAGGAAATCGTATAAAACGGCAACGGTTAAACGAAACACCGAATATTGCCTAAACTATACGATTTATTCGAGATTTTTCGTAAAAATCGTACAAAACGCGTTTTTAATAAAACCCCAAGTAAATCGTAGAAAACGGCAACGATTAATCGAAACATCAAACATTGCTTAGCTTTACGATTAACTCGAGAAACTTATCTAAAAACGGCATCGTATCAGGAAACGATCTCGTCTAAAGTCGTAAAACGGATGTATCGCAAAACGGCTCGGAAAGTCATAAAACGCGATAAAAGCCACTCGTGACTTTAAACGAAGTCCAACCCAAAGATACAAAGACGTTTTGGCGATTTACTCGCAGAAAGAAGATAAATGTCAAACTTGAAGATAAAAGTCAAGTTTGAGGATAAATAGAAGATTTCTGCGGAAAAAAAAAAGAAAGATCGAGATAAATGGAAGATTCTCATTAAACTCGAATCTGGGCGAAATGGAAAGACTAAACCGCCTAGGAAGGGAGTATATAAGCAAGAGGCATATGGCAGAAGCAAAGGGACGATTTTCAGAGCTCTCACCACCAAAATTAGCATTTAAGAAATTTTCCGTTTTCGTTATCGAGCTGCGTCTCAACTAGGGTTTTAGTCTTAGATTGTTAGAACTAGAAATTTCACCGACGGCTCACGCAGCTAAGGCAACTCTCGTTGTAACCATTCTTACGCGAATTCGGAATAAGAATCTTTCTTTCTCTCAATCTCGTTTTTCTTTTTATATCTTTCAATTTATTAATATTAATCGCGTTTTTGGTTACTTGTCGTTGGCTTTCGCAGAGATCCGGTTCCTCTGGAAAATTAGGGTTTTCCTAAGTTTCCTTATTTAACGGAAATCGACAGGTGTGAATTTCGGTTCCCACACTACTACATAATTATTCTATTTTAAAGAAAAATATTAAATTATATTTGAAATGAACTAACTTTACAATTCATGTTAATATATCTTGAGTCTTGTATAGACTAGTAGCCGTTATCTTTTTTGTCTGACTGAAAAAATTCAAGTAGATTATACGCTAAGGAGAATCAAACATATGTTTGCCATTAAGACCACTGTACCATAGTAATTAATAGTATTTTGCTTACAATTTAGACTTATATTATTTAACCGGTGTCTACTTACTCTACATTTTTTCATGTGGTCCGCCTTTGGTAGTTATTTGAAAAACAAAACTTAGGTTTAACTCCTATGAACGTTTAAATTCACCTCTCATTCTAGAACTAATCAAAATGCCACATAGATAACTAATTAAAATTATTAAATTTATTTTAAAATAACTAAAAATAAGAATAATGTCAATTTGACGATGCTGACGCTACTAACTAAACCGTAAACCCTAAATCTTAAATTCTAAACCTTAAACCCTAAATCCAAACCCTAGATTCTAAACTCAAATTGTATACCCGGAACCTCCAAATGTATATTCTAAACCCAAAATCAAGATTCTAAACCCAAACCATAAATCCTAAATCCTAAACCATATACTCTAAACTTAAATCTTAAACACTAAATCCAAATCCAATAGCGTTTAGGTTTAGGGTTTGGGTTTAGGATTTACGGTTTGGGTTTTAAATCTAGGATTTGGATCTACTAACGTTTAGGATTTGGTTTAGGATACATGGTTTGGATTCAAGGTTTACTGTTTGGATTTAAGGTAAGGTCTAGGATTTGGGTTTAGGGTTTAGGATTTATGGTTCAAAATTTAAAATTTAGAGTTTTAGCGGTGCCAACATCATTAAAATTGACGATAGTTTTAAATGAATTTAATATTGTTTAATTAGTTATCTATGTGATATTTTGATTGGTTTTAGAAGGAGATGTAAATTTAAAGGTTGAACCTAAGTTTTGTTCTTATTCAAAGACTGTTGAGAAACAATTTTCAGTTAGTCGCTGCAATTTTTAGTTTAGCCGCTCCAAGTTAGCACTAGGATTTTGAAATCGGAATACTCTTTTATATATATATGTTTGTATGTATGTTCTTATAAATATAATCCAAATGTAAATCATTATTGTGCTTTGTGCATAACGATCATGACAATGCATGTGATTAGGTTACATGTCCGCACATGATGAGTTTCTTCAAGAACTTAGGAGTAGACATAGAGGTTTCAAACATGTCTTTCTCAGTGAGCCTCGACAGTGGCATATACTACGAATGGGGGACCCGCAATGGACTTTCAAGCTTGTTTGCTCAGAAGAGAAACATTCTCAACCCCTATTTCTGGCAAATGATTACAGAATTAATTAAGTTTAAAGAAGACGCACTAACATATATCGAAGAGCTGGAGCGTAACCCTGATACTGATCGAAACGAAACCTTAGGAGAGTTTCTCAAGTCTCACGGATACTCTGCCTTGTTTCAACAGGCTTACTTGGTGAGTTTTGGCATGTTTTTAAAAATAATTTCTTGGGAGACAAGAAAACTTAAATTATGTTGTTGGAACAGCTACCAGCATGTGGTTCCATATGGCCATGCCCACCAGACATCGTCCTTAACTTTTCGGCTTACTCTATTCTGTCTTTTTGCCGCAACCACCATTTACTTCAGGTTCATAGTATATATTATGAGTCAGAGAGTGTTTTCTAACTTATAAGTCTTTAACCAAAAACAAGAGTATTCTCTTACTTCGTTTCTCATTTCTTCCTCAGACCCTTGAGAGGCCACAATGGCTGACTGTTGCAGGACGTTCGGAGACTTACGTCGCAAAGGTTCTTAGTTATTACAATTGCATATATTTACACTCATCACTCATACATGGGTTGGTTACTTGTCGAACAGGTTAGGGCAGAACTGGAGCAACGAGGATGCAAGATTCGAATGAGTTGCAATGTACTGTCTGTTTCAACATCTGAGGATGGTTGCATCTTAGTAACAGCTGAAGATGGATCTTACGAAGTATTCGAGAAGTGTATAATAGCTGTGAACGCACCAGATACTCTGAGATTGCTCGGAGAAGACGCCACCTTTGATGAAACCAGGGTTCTTGGTGCGTTCCAATACGCTTACAGGTAAACTCATACATGTACTAGTTTGTTTAAGTTGCATTGTTAAGATATATTAACATGTCGTCGTCATCGATATGTAGTGATATTTATCTCCACCGTGACACTGATCTGATGCCAAGGAATCCTATTGCATGGAGCGCTTGCAATTTCATAAGAAGTTCTGAAAGTAAAGCGAGCCTCACATATTGGCTCAATATAATTCAGGTATGTATATTGATGACACCAGGGCCGGCTTAGGTGGGAGGGCAAGCAGTGCACTGGCCCAGGGCCCAACCTGAGATCAAATAATTTTAACAGTATAAAAGGGCCCAGATTTTTTTTTTTTGATAACAAGGGGCCTAATTTTTTTTTTTTTACTTTAAATGTTATATTTACACAATATTAACAAACATAACAGTATAATTTTTTTATATTTATAAAATACAAAAGAATAAAATAAATTTAGACAAGTTTTTATATATGTTAAAATAATATTTTGATAACAAAATTAAAATTAATTAGTAATAGGGGCCTAAAATTTTTTTTTGCCCAAGGGCCCTCTATTTTGTTAAGCCGGCCCTGGATGACACGTTTGGATCAACTTAAACATCGAGTGACGAGACTGGAACTGTGTTTTCTTTGCAGAATCTTGGAGAGGAATATGATCCATACTTTCTAACAATTAATCCTGAAGTTACTCCAAAGAAGACATTGTTTAAGTGGACCACTGGTCATTCTCTGCCATTTGTTTCTGCTTGGAAAGCTTCACAAGAGCTAAACAACATTCAGGGGAAGCGCGGTCTATGGTTCTGTGGTGCATATCAAGGTAGTCCCTAGATTTTCAAGTGTTACTCAAATTCGTTTTAAGAAAATTTGCTCACTCCATCTTCTTCTTAGAAAATATTTTGGTTCTTGGACAATTAATTTTTGGTACTAGTTCATATTGTGTTTTATCAATACTTGTCCATCAAGACCTCTACATAAATTTGGTAAGTACATTGGTCTATTTTAATTGAACACCATAGTAGTACATTTCCAACATGTGATTTACAAACAAATAATTTATGGACAAGTAGCAATCTCTAGCTAGACCCACCATATTTAAAATAAAAATGATAGAATTGAGTAACCCTAATCCATGTGAATATTTATTTGGTTCCTTTTTGCAGGCTATGGTTTTCATGAAGATGGGCTAAAGGCACTGATCAAACTTCTGTAGATACACCCATTCATTGTTCCTCTTGATAGTCTTTTTTTTTTTGTTGTGTGTAAATTGAAAGTTTGTTAACAGGCTGGTATGGCGGCTGCACAAAGTCTGCTAGGGAAAGATATGGTTCCTCTTCTGAGCAACCCAAAATACATGGTCCCATCTCTAACCGAAAAAGGGGCTCGGTTTTTATTTACTAGATTCTTGAGACATTTTATATCCACCGGTTGTGTAACGTGAGCACTCTCCTCTCTATAATTAACATGCACATATATTTAATGTTACATATACTTATTAGTAGATCCTAACAGAGTATGTGAAGAAGGAAGAACAATGTTCACTTTCAAAGGAAAGGATTTGAGATGTAACTTAGAATCTGTCATAAATATTCACAGTCCTCACTTTTACTGGAAGGTTGGCACGTACGATCACACCAGAAAGAGTTAACTCAATGAATAACGTTTCTTCCAAAGCTTAAAGATTATTTTTCCTACAGGTTATGACACAAGCAGATTTAGGACTTGCCGACGCTTATATAAATGGAGATTTTTCGTTTGCCGATAAAGAAACAGGACTTCTCAATTTGATCATGGTATGGTACATGTACTTATTGAAGAACAGAGACACAGTAAGAAGCTTCTGACGTTTATTTATCTGCTTGATAACAAACTTGCAGATTCTCATTGCTAACAAAGAATTGAACTCAAAGAACTCAAATCTTGCTAAGAAAAGGCAAGGTTTCAAACTTTCAGCTAAGTTATTATGTAAGCTTTCACTTGTCACGTTGCATTTTTATGTACTGTGTAGGGGTTGGTGGACACCGATGTTTATAACTGCTGGTTTAGCATCTGCAACACATTTCCTAAAGCATTTCTCTAGGCAGAACACTTTAACTAAAGCTCGAAGGAACATTTCACGTCACTATGACCTTGTAAGTTGTCTTATGCTAACATCCTTTCTGTCTGAAGAGAACCCAACCCATTTTGTTTTGGGTTTACCATTGGATATTTTTGCAGAGCAATGAGCTTTTTGCTCTATTCTTGGATGATACCATGAGTTATTCATCTGGGATATTCAAGGTGACAATGATATTCACTCTTCTGTTAATTTTCTATGCATAAAACTATAATCTTTCTCCATTTAACATTTTTATAGCCAGACGATGAGGATCTGAAAACTGCACAGATGAGGAAAATATTTATTTTAATTGATAAGGTAGGATAACATAATCTTCTTAATTCAGAACATGATTTTCTCTTTTCTTGAACAAATACAGTTGCACATTTTCAGGCAAGAGTAGAGAAGCACCATGAGGTTCTAGAGATTGGATGTGGATGGGGAACTTTGGCCATTGAGGTTGTGAGAAGAACTGGATGCAGATACACTGGCATCACATTATCTATTGAACAGCTTAAATATGCAGAAGAGAAAGTGAAAGAAGCTGGACTTGAGGTCTGAAGAATTCTCTATGGATCTTGTTTCTTATTTCGTTGGCTATGACTAATGATATAACTTCTGAATGATAGGACCGGATCACCTTTAAGCTCTGCGACTATCGTCAACTATCTGAGGCTCACAAATATGATAGGATTATATCTTGGTTATATATTTCTTTCCTCTCTATTGTATATAACTGTTTAATCTGCTTTATGAGGCTACGACATAACAGTTTGGATTTTGTTTCAGTGAGATGATAGAACATGTTGGTCATGAGTTTATGGATACATTCTTCAGTCTTTGTGAAGCTGCACTTGCAGAAAACGGAATCTTTGTCTTGCAGGTAACACTTCCACTCACAGTTCCCTTGGATAGCACATATCATGGTTGCATAACTTTTGATCGGTTTTAATGTTTACCTATAAAAACAGTTCATATCAATACCCGAAGAGCGTTACAATGAGTACAGACTAAACTCAGATTTCATAAAAGAATATATCTTCCCAGGTGGATGTATTCCTTCTTTAGCCAGAGTTATTTCTGCCATGGCCTCTTCTTCTAGGTTGAGGTAAAGTTTTTTTTTTTTATATATATATATATATATATATATATATATATATAAGATTCTTAACTATTTAATTACACCTAAGAAACACACAGCATTGAAAATGTTGAGAACATTGGGATTCATTACTACCAAAATTGAGATGCTGGAGGAGGAATTTCTTGGAGAATCAAAAGTAAAATCTATATCAAAAACCTTTTTTTGGAATCTTCATATTTGCACTTATATCCCAAAACAAAACTGTTATCTGTACAGAGAAATCAGGAATCTTGGATTCGATGATAAGTTCATAAGGACGTGGGAATATTATTTCGACTATTGTGCAGCTGGTTTCAAGACTCTTACCCTTGAAGACTACCAGGTAACACATTAAACATAAACATAACCCATGCGGAGTGTCACTAAACATATATGTATACTTGATTGAATAGCTTCATCCGTTTGCACAACATTGCAGGTAGTGTTCTCACGTCCGGGGAATGTAGCTGCATTCCGAGACCCATTCCGTAGCTTCCCTTCTGGTCAATAATTAAATAAGACTTGCAAATGGTGTTGTTTCCTATTGAAAGTCTGCACTGTGAGAAAGCATCTGTAAACTTGCAAACAATAAAAAACTGCGTTCATGATTCTGTACCAATAATCTTGTATATGTCTAAACCATGTATCAACTTATTCCACATCAAAAGATCATAAACCGCTTCAGATAAAGTGTTTGATTCTTTACTCAAGCTGCTATGGAGTGATTCACTTTCACTAAGACCCTGAAAACCCCTATTTTACAACATTTGGTTTTTTCACACTCGGTTAATCAATAAAGTGACCCATCAAAATACATGGGCTTCTGGCCATCAAAACATCCGATAAGAAGAAGCAGGGAGAACGTCCATCCAAGCCATTAGTGCTAAAGTGGAAAACTTCACCAGTGATCTGGAATTTAATTACCTCGCCCAATGATCGCATCAAATCTCTCTTCCAGTCCTAACGAATCATGTTCTTCTTCAGAGAGTAAGAACAGTCTTGCCCTTTCGGTGGGAAGTTCGCATTTTATTATGAGAATTGACAAAATAGAACATTGAACTCTAGTCAAATCACAGCTGCATATTATTTTTACCAATAGATATTTCCTAAAATCTAGAATTTCAGATATCCCAACCAAGCTTTAGAGTCAAATTACACATTTAATAACTGGGTTCATTCCAAACCCTAGAGAAAATATCAACTACTCTCATTCTCCTTGTTGTAGTAGTAACACCTTACTACGGTACTCCCCCAACGCCCATATCGGAAAGATGCTTCGATATGCGGCGTATGTTATCATGCAATTCCTGTTGAATACTCCCATTATTTCCTGACAGACCAACAAAAACCAAGAGATTAATCATCCATTATTCACCCAAGATTAGTAGTTAATGCTGCATCTTGTTACCTGTTGGGGGAAATCCCCATCCTCCATTTGAGTATTAATCAAATATCTTGCTGCCATGTGTAGTGGTTCTTTATCTACGTCGGCCTAATTAACCACACACCCACCAAGAGACATTAATATAGAAAAATAATGCAAAGTTTAAATTTTTTTAAAAGTAAATCACTTACCTGGCCAGCACCAATGAGTGCGAGCAAAGCCCATGATGTATTCACAACATGAGACTTGTTGCCTTTAATGCTTGTATACACCTACTCAAAAGAAGAAGAAAAACACACCAATTCATCAAGCCGTAAGTAGAGTTGTGAAAAGTAATAATCACTAACCTTGTCTTGACATGAAAGATAGCTTTCTCCCCATCCCCCTGAAGGAAGTTGTTTAGACAACAGAAATTCACAAGCTTTGGCCACAGCTTGAGAGTTTTTCAATGTTTTCCCAACAGCTTCAAGCCCTTTCACTCCAAACCATGTACCATACGTGAAGCAAACAGCCCATGATCCATACCTATCACAGGTTACGAGCAGGCCAGAAACCAACACCAATAATATAAGAACAAAAAAAACAAGAAATGTAACTCTGCAAATATATAGTGACAAACCATGAGCCATCTGTTGCTTGAATAGATTCGATGAACTTAACCGCTTTCTCAATGCATTCATCTACATCCTTCTTCCGATGACCGGGATAAAGCTTTCGGAATGCTACCAAAGCTTGGATAGCAGCTGACGTACACTCCACGTAACTACAGAACCATTCGAACGCATCAAGAAAATTTTCTAAAACATAAAAATAATCCATTAAATGGAAGATGGTAGCGCCTTACGGATAGTCTATAACGATATCGCCAAAGGTTTCTGAAGGGTTGATTAGCTGCCAGCAGAAAATATAAGCAAACTTGTCACTAAGAACTCCAGCAAAGGTGATTATTAAGGTACATATGTGTTTAACCTCTTCCATTATTCACACACAACTTAGACTCATAGATACAAAAAAAAAAAAGTATATGTTATCAAGCTTCAGAATATGACTGATCTATATATTAAGTACACATGCATTACCTCCAACCAAGGGTATGACCTTGTGAGCTCATATGTTGCGACGCCTCCATCTGCATTCTGAAGTCAGAAATTAATTGCTTATCACACAAGGAAAATGACTAATCAAATACACTACACTTAGCACCAACAAGTAATTCGGAAACAAAATTAAACCTGTAAGGAAATGATAACGTTAACAGCATCATATAACAGGTTCGTGTCTAGTGGTTCGCCAACAATGTCCTTGGGAACTTTGGATAGCAAAAGAACAGCCTGAAGAGGAGGGAAAAATAACAGACTCATGATTACAATCACTAGAAAATAAATCTGGAAAGGTTGGTTACTCTGTCACATTATTATAATTACTTTAAGTCCCTCTGCGGTGCAGTCAGAGATAGGCCAGCCGTGATCTGCAGTTGAGAAAGGCCAAGCCCCTTTAGAAATGTGGCGATACCAGTAACTCAGATCTCCAGGGCAATCCTCTAACACCTATTGCCATAAAAAGAAACACGAATGAGAACACACAGAACAGCATGCTATAATCTTCATTTAAGTGCCTTTCGCAAACCTGGGAATCCTTGATAAAAGAATGTGTTTTCTTCAAAACGGACCCATATTCTTCGACAAAGTTGGTTGCCAGAATAGCTTGAACAGCAAAACCCGTATCCCATAGCTGGCTTCCATTATAACCCTGTCAATAACTGCTCCGTTAGAGTAATGTGATTCTGATTACTATATAAAATTTCAAAGACTGCTGAGTGAATGATTCAAGAGGCGTAATATTGATACTGAATCGGCAGTTCGCTTCCGTCCATATAATCAAACCTAGAGTGAACATATATACAAATATATGCGGGTACCTGCATCTTCATTCCATCTTCAGCTACCCAGAGATAGTCATGGATTCTTGGTAGGTGCAACTTGAAAGCCTCTGAGTTTGGGTCTTCTACCCAGCAACAAAGCATATTTAGTACCTAGCAGAAAAAAAAACACATTGATGTAAGGTCAATAAGTCAACAGCAGCATAAAACAAGCACAAGGTCCACAAACTTAGCTTTATAAAAATGGACATCATATCAAAAATGGAAGTTTGATTAGCATACCTTATTCACGGGTCCTATGCAGAGGTACCTTGTATTCTCATCTTCGTAATGAATATGTTCTAGTGTGGTTCTTAAAGCCTTTTCTCTCAAAATTGAACCAGGCCATCGGGTCAGAATAGGCTCCACAATTTTGTGAAGTGATGCCCATAGAATATCTTGCACGAGTGGGTGTGGGTAGTATAAATCCTCCTTCAATACAAAAGCAGCTGTCAGAATAAATAAATGAATAAAAATTTATCAATTCTACCAACCTTTGCACAAAGGGTGCGTGCTTGATTCCAGTCAATGCCATGATACGGCACAGTGAAAATCTCCTTTCTCAGTGCCAACACAGTGGACGTAATGGGACCAACAAACCTTTTGCCATACAAGTATGACATTGGCAGATAGACCATCCGACAGTGACACCACATCCTTCCTGGAGCATAAAGAAAATCCTCACGACGGTGAGCACTCTATATTTACAGACAAAAAACAAGCCGTATGAAACGAAAATAATATCCGTCTTTCTAAATGCACACACACAGACCCGTGCTTACTAGCTAGCTTATGAAAAAGGCGGTTGCCTTAGGCCCCCACTTCTACCACATGTTTAGAGGCCCCCCAAATTTTAAATTTGTTTTGATTTAGCCATTATATTCGATGTTACATATCTATAGCATCAGTTGTTCAAAAAAAAAAAAAAAAAAATTTTAACATCAATTTCTCTTCTTTCACTCTATGGCCTTTTAGATTTTTAAATATACATCTCATCTAGTTTCATTTTATATAACTATTTATGTTTTCTTATACAATTTTCTAAGTTTACAGTTGCACACTTACGCTTAATATATATTTTGATTACAATAAAATGAAGATATATGGACATAGTTTTCCTTTCTGTTATAAAATTAATTTCTTATTTTTATATCTTCACGTCTCACCAATTTTAATGCTATATAAATAATATTAGAAAATATCTATTCTATTTTTTTATTGTATTCACTAAAATCGTATCTATAATATTTTTTAACAACATTATTATTTTAATTTTAGCCTTAGGCCCCCAAAAAAGCTATAGGCTTGCCACTGCACACACAGTTAAAACATTGGTTAAGTGGAGACACGATGAAATTAAGATTCAACAAGTATTTATGAGAGGGCACCTGGATGGATTGGGAGGAAATAGGGAAGAAGCCATATCTCAGGTGGTAGTGGGTTATTTCCAGACCATTCAAAAGCTCCAAGCACCTTTATTCAAAATATAAATAATAAAGATGACCGAAACATTCACAGGATAACTTAACGAGGTCAAGATTTCTCCTACTGAAAGCCACATTTTTCCCCAGGAAGTGATATTGGTAGCACCACCATGGTTGAGTATCCAGTCTCGGCCTTTCTCGATAGCTCCATCCCCAGCGTCAGGTCCTTGTCCAAGCAACCTCAAAGTAACATAGTTCAAGACAGACATAAACATGGTGCTGTGGCCCTCAATATGTAGACCCCAACCTCCGTCTTCATTCTGAAACAAAAGGAGGAAGGAAGTCTTTGAAACATAAAGATTTGGATGAACATATTAAAAAGATATATAGAAAAGAAAAAAAGGAAAAAGGAAAAATTCATCTCTTGCCTGGTGATTATAGAGATAACGGCACATTTCATGTTTGTGTTGTTCTGACAAAACTGTATTCAGTGCTCCAGTTATAGAGAGCGTAATAATCTGGAAGCAATGTAAGGAAAATTAGAGTTTTTATCAAAAATCTTTGAAATGAAATATAGTATGTCAGAAAAAAAGAGGGTTACGAGTCCAGGGAGGAGGAACATAGGGCCAGCGTAATCTCCAGGCCAGTGGCCATCGTGGGCCTGAAAGGTGGAAAAGAAATCAAGACCCCTCTTTAACGTGTCTTTCACAGTCTCGTCTGTAACATCATCACTATCTTCGAGTTTGACTTGTGGTAAAACTGAGCTAATCAACTTGTTTTCTCCTGAAAACTACAGAAAGCATATATATATTAAAATAAATATTAAAGAATCTTCTTTTAGTACAATGCAGATTAAAATATATATTAAAAACAAAATTTCGAAAGAAAATATATATATATAAACCTGAAGGCGCATCAGGAGATCAGAGCTATGTTTCTTGGAAAATCGATTTGCTGTAAACGATTTTCTGGCTTCCTCCACGGCGGCGAGCTCCTCAGGGGTCCCGATCTGCGGATCGAACTCCCAAATCTGTCTTCCGACGTGATGATTCGTCGTCCTCAGCCATGGACTGTCTCCCTCGCCGATCTTCAGCTTCCACATTGGTTACGACGCGGAAGTATGGTTAGCGGGTTTAGAGATATTCAATAAACGATACACGAAGTGGTGATAAGTCTGCTCACTAAGAAAATCTCAAATACAATCAAGAACAGGATCTCAGCTCTAAGACCTCGAAACAACGCTCTGGCAACTGAATTGTTCCACCTATCCTATGGTTTTCTCTGTTTGATTCCACTTCCGGCTCATGACGTTCTCGTTCTATCGTAACCAGTATTTGGGCTGGGTTTCCATCATGGGTTTTGCCTTGGGCCAATTACTCACTCACTCATATGTTAACATGGTTTGAAGGTTCTTACAACCACGCTTGCTTCTGCAACTTTTATTTTTAAGGGAAACTAGATTTTGATCCGTGTTTTCAAAGCGCGGGTTTATGATTGATGCAAACTTTATATAATCACATTTCCTATACATGTAGAAATGTGGGATAAACTTGTTTAGTTCTTTAATTTCATCAAACATAGTCTTTTTTAAATGCAGGATAATCTTTTGGGGAAAATTTTATATGACCGCATTTTTGTTTTATATAAAGTAGACATGTGCATAAAATCCATAACTCGACGTCTAAACTCAATTAAAAAAAAATTGGATTCATAAATGATCAAAAATCTAAAATATATCAGAATGAGTTTTGTAGGGTGGTACAAAATATATCCAAATCAAAGTGTTATTAGCTAGACCCGAACGAATAACCCAAAAACCAAAAAATCTGGAAAAAAGTCTGAATCGATCTTAATGTCCAAATTAATCATAAATATAAATATTTGAAACATAAATATCTAGTTTAAATATCCAGTTCTATATTTATTTTAAAATGATATTTAAAATTAATTATCTAAATTTTAACTAAGTACTTTAATATCCAATTCTATAAAAATAAGTATCTTTCTTTTGTTTTGGTTTTAGATTTTAGATTGTCAAACCAATATAACCCTAATCCGAACGATATATGGTTATTTTATCGGTTTTAGGATGTGTACAAATTAGAACCAAACCGACGTGTTATTTTTGAATCTGATCCATACTTACAAACATGTCTACTTACATATTATGACACATATGATGTGATATAAATTAGTTTTAATTCAAAATATTCGACCCGTATCCCAATAGGTACTTGAATTCTCAAGCATAACTTATATTATGTTTTATATTTTGTTAAATTAATTTTATATTTGATAAATATTTTGTCTGTTTATTAGAATAACCCATAAAATTAGAATCATAAAATATCAGTAATAACATGTTTCATCATATAATTAAATATTAATAGTAGCTATTATTAATATTTATTTTATAAAAAACAATATATATATATATAAATGATTTTAAGACTTTATCTATGATGATGATATTATTATGTATTGGTGGAGGTTTGAAAAAAAGTTGTTTATTATTATTTTGTGTATCAGTTACATATAATTAAATTTTAATTTTTGATATCCTAATTTTGTAATTTAGATATGTATATTAAAATATAAAATTATTTCATTTTTTTAATATCTTATGGTAGTATTTTGTAAATGTAATTCATCTAGTTTATAATTTATAAAGTTGATTAATTTATATTATAATTATTATTTTGTGTAATTTTTAGTTACAAATATGAAATATATATATATAAATGTTATAGAAAGTTAGTTCTTATTCTATAAATAAAAATGAGTTAATACTCATTTATAATATAATTTAATACTATTTACGTTTTTATTATTAATTAATATCAAAACAATAAATATTTATTTTTAAAATAAAAATAGATTAAAGATATTGTTAAAATGTAATTTGAAAAATTAGTTAAGATTATCTTTTTTATATCTTATATTAATATTATGTTTTTATTTAATAGTAACTAAGTTTGTTATATGTAACATAACACAAAATTAAATAAATATAATGTTTTGAGGTAGACTACTTCCAAGTAGATAAAAAGTGCTTCTGTTTTAATAGAATTGATGTAATATCTTAGAAATATTCATTTTTTATTTTCCATCTATGTGATATTATATTAGAAATGAATATTGGGGTTTTTGCCAAAACTAACCCACAACTTGGTTTTAACCCCAATACTAGACCCCAACTTGAATCAAATGCAAATCTAACCTAAAAGGGCTATGAAATTACAATATAGTCCTCTGTGACCAAACAAAAAAACAGAAGACATTTTTACGAATATAACCCTAGTAAGTTGTCTGAGTTGGGCTGAGTTACTTTTC